TCATTTTAAAACTTTTTTCGCATTTTTAAATTTTACTTTTTTTTTTTTATTTACACTTTAATATTATTATTATTATTATAAACGATAAACTAACGACCGATGTAAAGTTAAATAAAAAAAATAAATAAAATAAATTTTTTTAAAAAAAAAAAAAAAAAAAAAGAAGAAGCCAACCAACCAACCGACCAACCAACTCAAACGACTTCTTCCGCGGCAACTGTTTCACTGGTACCTGAAAACGAGATAGCGCTAGGCACCAAACACATTCACCAAAGGTAGTCGTTTTTAAAAACGTTTTTAACCGGTTAAAAAAAAAGAGAGTTTCCTTTTGATATTTTGTATTCGGGATTTAAATCAATTTTGTTGTTGTTGTTGTTGTTGTTGTGGTCGCAACATCAGTACCCGGAAAATTAAAAAAAAAAAAAAAATTGTTTCGATTCGTACGCGCGTTTTTAATTAAATAACGTTTCTAAACAAAAAAAGAAAAATTTTTTTAGAGAGAGAGAGAGAGAGAAATCAAAGTTCCAGATGTAAAATTCAAAGAGGAAAAACTTTTGACCCCCTACAACCTCCCCAAAAAAAAAAAAAACTTTTAAGAATAAAAAAAAAAAAAAAAAAAAAAAAACGTCATTTAAAGAAATTTACAATTTTTTTTTTCCCCTTTCTTTTTTTTCCCCCCTCGTCTTCCCCCTCCCCCCGATCCTCTACCGTTCTTCTAACGTTTCCCCTATACCACCGCCTTCTATTTCACTCTCTCCCTCCCTCCCCCTCGGTTTCTCGATAGGAAAAAAAATATATACGTAGGGAAATTTTTTTTTTTTTTTTTTTGGCAAATGAAAATAAATGAAAATTTTTTTTTTTTTTCACGATTTCTGATTTCAATATGAAAGCCAAAAAAAAAACCATTTTAAAGAAAATTTTTTTTATTTTGCCAAAAAAAAAGAAAAATATTTTATTTAGATTTTAAAATTTTACGGTGCCTTAATTTTAAATCTACGTTTCCATCGTAATTTAAATTTTTTTTTTTTTTCAAATAAAAATGGCGGAAAAATAAATGAAAAAAAAAATTGAAAAATTGAAAAATGCAAATGAAAATTCGTCATAGTTTGATATGTATAACGTAAAAAAAAAATTTTTTTTCTTTTTTTTTTTTTTTTTTAATTTACAACTTGGGGGGCCCGAAATTTTATTCGAATTTAAATTAATAATAATAATAATATTATTTCTTTTTGATTGGTACTTGTGTAAATCACGTGTGAATTTTTTAATAATTAAAAAAAAAAAAAATCCAAACGGATGAAAACGACCGAACTAACAAACAAACATCCTAACAGTTTGCTAATTACGCAGCATCTCAAAGGATCATAACCGCTTTAATCAATGCTTTGAAATTATTTACCGAAACACGAGAGTAAAAAAAAATTTTTTTCGCAAATTCATTTTCCTCGTACAAACGCAAAATTCTCATTTTCCGTTCAAGGAAAAAAAAAAAAAAAGCGTGACTAAATTCACGGATATTATCATCATCATCATCATTATTATTATTATTAAATTCTACCCGATATGTCCTCTTCATCACAAATTTTTTCATAAAAACCGTTACTTTCTTAAAAATTTTCTTAATAATAATAATAATTCTAATTTTTTTTTTGCAATGACACTAAACGTTAACCCTCCCCTCTCTCCGTCTCTCTCTCTCTCTACCTATTTACCCGTATTTATAATTAACGAAATATTATTATTATTATTAAAAAATAATTATTTAACGGATGCAATTATGTAATTATTAGCTTTCGCGTTGGAAAGAGAAAAAAAAAATTATTATCTTGTAATTAATTGCTTACGCTTTTACCTTTCTCCATATTATCCATCTTACCTTACCTTAATTATTTTTCAAGTATTAACGAAAACTGATTTTTTTTTCTTTCTCTCTAACCCTTACTCACGCACCGCCCCCTCCCCAATCTCCTCCCCCGTCCTCTCTTTAAACAACCGACGAATCGATTTTTGTTTTTTTTTTTTTTTTTTTTTGCGTAAGTACCGTAAATTAAAAAAAAAAAAAAAAAAAAAACGAAATGAAATTAAGATTGGATTACACACCCCCACAAAAAAAAAAAAATTTTTTAATTAAAATTAAGAGTAACGAGTTTAGATTTATAATAATATAATATAATAATATAATAATAATAATAATAATAATAAT